AATTGGAACCAATTCCCCTGAAAACTGGAACTAGACAAGGATGCCCACTCTCTCCCCTCCTGTTCAACATAGTATTGGAAGTCCTGGCTAAAGCAATCAGAGAAGAGGAGGCAATCAGAGGTATTCAAATAGGAAAAGAGGAAGTCAAGTTATCTCTCTATGCAGATGATATGATGGTGTACCTTGAAAACCCAAGAGAATCTGTCAAAGGTCTCCTTACATTGATAAAAGCCTTTGGCAAAGTCTCAGGATACAAAATAAATGTACAAAAGACAATCGCATTTCTCTACACCAATAATAAACAAACAGAAACCCAAATAAAAAACACAGTTCCATTCACAATAGCCACAAAAAAAATGAAATACCTTGGCATCTTCCTAACCAGAGACGTGAAAGACCTTTACAATGAAAATTACAAAACACTGCTCAAAGAAATCAAAGCCGACATGAACAAGTGGAAAAATATCCCATGCTCATGGATCGGAAGAATCAACATTGTGAAGATGTCCATCTTACCTAAGGCAATCTACAAATTCAATGCAATACCCATTAAATTACCAACAACATTCTTCTCAGACCTAGAAAAAACAACACAGGAATTCATATGGAAACACAAACATCCAAGAATAGCCAGAACAATCCTCAGCAAAAAAAACAAAGCAGGTGGTATCACAATACCAGATTTCAAACTTTACTATAAAGCTACAATCATCAAAACAGCTTGGTATTGGTACAGGAACAGGCATATAGATCAATGGAACAGAATTGAGATTCCAGAAGCAAAACCTCAATTTCTCAACCAACTCATCTTCGACAAAGCCCCCACCACCTACCAATGGGGAGAGGAGAACCTATTCAGTAAATGGTGCTGGGAAAATTGGCTGACCACATGCAGAAGATTGAAACAGGACCCCTATCTATCCCCATGCACAAAGGTTAACTCCAAATGGATCAGAGACCTAAATGTAAAACCTCAAACCATAAGAACCTTAGAAAAGGAAGGAAATACTCTCATGGAAATCGGAACTGGCATCCAATTCCTGTACAAAACCCGAAACCCACAGGACTTAAGAGAGAAGATAGACAAATGGGACCTTATTAAACTGACAAGCTTCTGCAAAGCCAAAGAAACCATCAAGAGAGCAGGGAGACAGCCTACAGACTGGGAAAAAGTCTTTGCCAACTCTAGGTCTGACAACGGCTTAACATCCTGGATCTACAAGGAACTGAAACGTACTGAAAAGAAAAAAACAAACAACCCCATTATAAAATGGGCAAAAGATATGAACAGACACTTCACAAAGGAAGACATCCGAGCAGCCAACAGACACATGAAGAAATGTTCAACCTCACTAATCATCAGGGAGATGCAAATCAAAACCACACTGAGATACCACCTAACTCTAGTCAGAATGGCAATTATCAACAACTCAAAAAATAACAGCTGCTGGAGAGGGTGTGGAGAAAAGGGAACACTTCTACACTGTGGTGGGAGTGTAAACTAGTGCAACCTCTGTGGAAAGCAGTGTGGCGATTCCTAAAAGCTCTAAAAATTGACCTTCCATATGACCCTGCAATCCCCCTACTGGGAATATACCCTGAAGAACACAAATCACTCTATAAAAAAGATACCTGCACACGTATGTTTATCGCAGCATTGTTCACAATAGCAAGAACCTGGAAACAACCATGCTGCCCATCAAAAGAGGACTGGATTAAAAAAATGTGGTACATATACACGATGGAATACTACGCAGCC